GGAAGAAAGCCCCGGACTAATGTTTGTCTGCTTCCACTTCTGTAACTGTTCGCTAGACTGCTCACACATTCTTCCCCGCCATGTGTTTGAACCTGAAAACCCTATACAGGGTTGCCATGGATTGGAATTGACTTGACGGCACTTAACAACAACAACAACAATCCCAGGTAGTCCCGTCTCACTGTTGGCCCTCACTAACCAATCCCAAACTGACTCATGTATGTACCGCTATGCCCTATAAAACAGCCTCAAACAGGGAAGACAGGACTCAGCGTCTGGATACAAATCCACTGAGCCACGTGCAGGCACAATAAAAGTCCTTCCGTTGTAACAACCCCTGCGACGTTGGCAACTCCTTCAGAGCGACTCCCATAAGACATTGACCAGATGCTTCCAACGGTTAATAGAGGCGGCTATTAAAGGAGGCTGCGGGGGACAACTACAGAAACCAGTATTCATAAAAGATACTTTCAAAGTTCATACTGAGTTTCCAACTTTGAAAGTATTATCTATTGGCAAAACATTATTTCAGAACACTATATTGTACTTTCAAACATGATGTATATCAAATTAGATATCATACTGCAGACACATTATCAAGAGAAACCGGTCCCTTAAGAAAGACATCATGCTTGGCAAAGAAAAGGGACACAGTAAAAGAGAAGACCTCAGTGGCAGCAGTAACGGGCTCAAGCTTAGCAACTAACAACAACAAAAAATCTGTAATCACAAAATAACTTAAAATGTAATCACTTTCGACCCAACTGCCATCACACAGACTAATACACTTTCACAAATTACCAAAACAAAAATTTTAATTCTCTTTCTAAACACAGTAAACATGGCTACCAGAACCTTCACATCCTTATCACAGATGAAAGAATGCTTCTGAAATGCAAAGATAGTTACCACAAGCACGACTTGTTAAATACAGTAGGAGTCTAAGAATCTTCCCGAGGTTTAAGTAAGCACAGAGCCTAAAGCAGGCATCCCTCTGTGTGTGAGAAGTTGGCATTCATTAAATAAAAACATTCTCAATAGAAACAGACCAGAACCTTCCATTGGAACCTATAAATTCAAGCATTTAAACTCATCTCACATGGTGAGCTTGAGCGATAGAGAACACTTTCACTGTAGATTCTAATTCAAGACTTCGGACATCAGTGGCAAATTACCTGGATTAAAATCCAGGTCTAGGTGGAGGTGGAAGGACAAGGACCTAGATTGGGAAGTCATGCTTTTCACACACGTGAAATTCTCAAGACAAAAGTATTCCCCACTGTCAAAGAAAATGTTTTAAAAACAAAACAGAAAACACGAGTGTGAAAAGCCCACATAGGACCCAGCTGAGCTCACTATAAGCCGTAACATCACAGGTGTGGAGGGAACTCAGACTCCCCAGCCAGAGCTGCTCAGCATTCAGGCTTTGTCATTCTACACGTTAAAAACAAAAAAACCAAGTTTGGGGCTGGTCACACCCCAGGATGCCACCTGAGGTAGGTGGTCACAGGTATCCCAACCTTGAAAAGTGATATATTATGTGCAGAGGAAGAGCCCAGTAACAGTGGAGCAGGAATCAAAAGGTTCTCTAGGGCTCAGTCCCCCAGCCTCCTCAGTCATGTTTTGTTGATTAATGAACCATAGCCCTGCAGCACAGAGTTGGCCCCCCAACTCATATCCAGCCACACCCACTTATTGTCAGAATAACCTATTTCTACACAGAACTCACCATTTCTTGGCTCCTGCTTCTGGAACTCAAGGAGAATGTCTCAAAGTCCAAAAGGCCACACTTCAGGCAGAAGGAAGGGAGGGAAAGCAGAACACTTGGTACTTTGGAAAAAAGATGAATCAAGTTCGGTCCACATACCATTCAGAACAGTTGAAATCCTTCCTTGGGATTTTCAGATGTCCTCGGCAGACACCCTAGCTCCCCAGCTGCCTGGATTGGACTAGCTCTCTCACCACTACCTTGAGATGTGAAATGGAAGGATGAGGGAACAGAAGGGGACAACAGTGTTAGCAAGGAAGGACAGGTCTCCGTCTTCCTCCTAGGCTCTGGGTAATGCTTCCAGCTCAAGGTATCTGCACTGAAGGGAGAAGAGACCCCAACCTCCAGAGTACAAAATTACATTCATCATGGGCATCTTTCTGGAACCAAGATCACAGGGAGAAGAATTTACTCTTTCCACACGATGAGAAGCAACAGTCCTGGGTAGGCTGAAAAACTAGAGGATGACTTGGAGTCCAATGTTGAAACTGGGGGTTCCCATATGTAGTTTTGTTTCTTGTACACTAGCATGTGCAGCTATGAGATATCGACATAGTGAAATTTTCAGAATGAATCTTCTAAGTTTTATCAATGAACTCATCATACTTCAATCATTTTTACTTGTGTCGTTAAAACCCTTCTAAGGTGTTTTTTAGACGATTTTTCACTTACACCTTTAGGTGAATGATATTTTTCCTGTTGCTTTCACAATGAACATTTCTTTCTTTCTTCCCACTGAGTTTAACTTTTGTTCTCAAACCAGGACAGCAGCAGTCCCTAAATTTCTCAGAAATCTGATCCATCTCTTTAAATTGTGAACTGAGTGATAGTTTACATGGGAGAACATCAGTTTTACACTCGTTTCATTGCAGTGATTACAATCTCCTTCGTGCATCATCATTCAACAGCATTTGCTTCCATTTCGTTTTTGTTTTGGAGGGATGTACACAAAAACACTAAGGAATATATATCATTTAAACAACCAAAGGGCACATTCTGCAAGTCTGCCTCCTGGCCGCCAACTCTCAGTACCTCTCTTCCCATGAGTCTAAGAGTCCTCAGCTGCTCCCTCTCTCCACATCCTCATCTCTGCCTCCATCTCTTCTCTCTTGGTGGTCCTAGGGTCCTCTGTTCCTGGACTGTAAGATTAACTGCTCCCCCGTTTTTCTCACCAAAACGTCTACTTTTACAATTTTGACAGTCGTAATTAGTCATAACATCTTCTCATAATCTTGCTGAAAATTTCTGAGAAAATGTTTTCCTCCTGAGGCTGGGATATTGTGTGCATATTGTGTATTCGAGTGCCTTCGAGTCGGTTCCGACCCATAATGACCGTGGTTATAGGGTTTCCGAGGAGCAGCTGGTGAGCTTGAACTGCCGACATTGAGGTTCAAACGACTTTGCAGTCCTACGCATTAGCCCCCAGCGCCACACCAGAACTCCGTATGTTTCTCAATTCGACACTTATCTTCCAGACCATCAGCGTCACCAAAACTCCTCCATGAAGGGCAGAAGACAAACAAGGCTCATTTCAGGTAGAGAAACTGTGATTTAAAAAAAAAAAAAATTTAAAGGGGGCTTCAGGGGCGCTGGTAACGTGGGGTCTCCGCTTACCCAGCCGGCCTCGAGGCTCCGGAGAAGAGACCAGGAGCGCAGGGAGACAGCGTCCGGACGTCCCACCACAAGGAGCCCAGCAAACCTTCACCGGAAACCGAGAAAGCATACTTCCGGTTCCTAGGACTTCCGGGGTCCAGAGTAGGGACTTCCTGTGGATTCGCACCTCGTCACCTGTCTGTTAATTTCCGCAGATGGCGGGTGGAGGGAGGGAGCGGGGTACCCCAGATTCGCCAGTTACTGAGCCCGGGCCCCCCGGCGGCCCCGACTCTGCATTTCTCAGGCTCTCTCCCGGGGCACGCACGATGCGGGGCTGAGTCGCGAACTGTGCTCCGCGCAGACGCATACCACGTGTCAGGGAACGCACCGAAGTCTCCAGGAGGATGGGGGAGAGACTAAGGCGCGCGGAAGAGCGGGAGCGGCGCCCTCGGACCCGGGACACGAGCCTGCGTGGGGCAGGCAGTCAGGACGATCCCACCACCGGAACTAGAACCGGAACGTCACCCTCCCAGGACGCACAAAGGACGGCGCTAAAACGAGGACGCACACTTCCACATCCGGTTTGTAGAGCCTTCGTTGCATCCCCGAAAGGGCTCTAACATATGACACCTGGTCCGGCTGCTCACATTTCCAAAATTGAGAAAAGCCTGGGTGTTCTTCCACGCGTGGATGAAGCGACCACGCGGATTTCAGTCATCAAAGACAATCTAGAGGAGAGGCAGAAGTTGAAATTTACAAATTAGAGAAGTTATCAGCTTGCTCCTCATAAATGTTTCCCCATCTTGACAGCTCTTGACATAGTTTGACTTCTATGTCGTGGGTTGTCGTTGTTGCAGACCCAGCCTGAATTCTCCAAATGCTGAGGACTCAAGATAAAAGAATTTTCCACAGTGAAAATCAACAAGATGCCAGTCATTCCATGGCATATTAGGCAAAAGATGAAGTACCTCTGAAAGTGACAATTATAAACGATCAAGAGTCCACTGCCATCGAGTCGATTCCAACCCACAGGAATCCATATAGTATACAGCTTTCCAGGGCTTTTAATCAGAATGTCTTTCACTCACACAGATGGGTTTCAACTGCCAACTTTGTAATTGCAGTCTAGTATTTATCCTACACCCAGCAGGATTCCTCATGTTTACACATACTTAATAAAGTCCATGTTGTTAAGTGCCATCAAATCTGTTCGATTAATAGTGTCTCTCTATAGGGTTTCCCAGTAGCACATGGTGGGTTTGAACCACCAACCTTGTGGTTAGCAGACCAATGCTTATCCTACAGCACCACATCAGGACTCCAATAAAGTCCACAATGAGAACTAATCTCTGTTACTCCTTGTTTGGCTTGTTGATCCACTACCCACCCTTCTGTTGTCTTAAGTCGTCCAGCCTGCCAGTGGCACCTGCTCATCAACGTTCCATCCCAAGAGTAATCGCAGGGCCCTTCCAGAGTCTTCCAAGTGACCCCAGGCCCAAGAATCTCTAGAAAGGAACACATTGTTTCACCCACTGTACTCCCAGGCACACATCAGAAGCAAAGGATGTATCTACAGGATATCTAATTGAATGTGATTCAACAGCAGGACCTCTGTTTATGTACAGATACAAGTTAAAGGGCAGGGAGAGATGGGAAGAACTCAGAATCCCAGAAGTCTAAAGGGGAATCCTAAAGTACATTGATCATGAGATTTCATGCTGCTCCTTGTCTGCCCAGACAATACACTATCTTTCTATTTCTCTTGCACCCCAGTGTCTGCTTTAATTCATTTGGTTAATAGAGTAGGATAAGAAACTGAAGATTTGGGTGACAGTTCATCTAATTCTGTAGTTAATGTTTGTATTGCTGTTGTTGAGTGCCATGGAATCAGTTTGATTCATATGCAATACAGAATGAAACATCAGCCGGTCCTACACCATCCCCACAATTGCTGTTACATTTGAACCCATTGCTACTGCCACTGTGCCAATAATTAATCTCACTGGGGGTTCTTCTTCTTCTTCACTGAACCTCCACTTTAGCTGAACCCCCACTTTACCAAGCATAATGCCCTTCTCCAGGGAATGGTCCCTACTGATAACACATAAAAAGTATGAGAGATGAAGTCTGGCCATTCTGGCTGTACTTCTTGCAACATAGATTTGTTTGTTCTTTTGGCAGTCCATGCTACTTTCAATATTGTCCTTCAACACCATAACTCAAATGCATCAATTCCTCTACGGTCTTCCCTATTTATTGTCCAAGTCTCACATGTATATCAGGCAATTTTAAATGCCATGACTTGGGTCAGGCGTACCTTAGTCCTCAAACTGACATCTTTGCTCTTCAACACTTTAAAGAGGTCTTGTACAGTAGAGTTGCCCAGTAAGTAATTTAAGTTCTTGTTTGCTGCTTCCATGAGTGTTGATTGTGGATCCCAGCAAAATGAATGTGATGGTTTCTACTAATTTTACAATGTGCTCTGTGATGTGACTTTTCCTTATAGCTTACTGTAACATTTAGAGAATAAGAGTCCCCATCATGTTTAATTATTTGAATCTAGAGAATGATTATCAGTCATTGTGCAAGATCCAGGCATGATCAGTACACCAAGGAGCTCGCCATTGGGTTCCTAGAATTCTCTTTACCCAAAATGACCACTTTGAACTTTTACTCTGATCCAAGCTGGCTCCACATCCATCTCAGGGTTCATGTTTCTGCAACTATTCTGGATCTGTGCTGTAGATGAGCCCACCACATATAAGAAAGAAATGCACAAAACAAAAGAAGCATTCCGATTGTGATAAAGATCTATGGCAGCTACTTACAGGATTGCTCTTATATTCATTCCACGATCAGAAAATTCTATTTCACCATTATTGTTTTAATTTTACCTGTTCCATATTCAGTAATATTGCCTGCTCTGTGAACAATCCTTTTCTGTGGGCTGGTGGTCCAAGAACCTGATGAATTGTAGGAAATAAGTTCATCCATCCCTTGCGTCTTCAAGTGTTTGAGGGCAGAGAAGCAGCGATAAATGGGCATACGCTCTATTCATAGTGTGTAGGACAGAGGACAACTAGCACTGTGTTGTGAGCCAAACCACCACACCAAAACAATAAAGAACTATTATGATAAAACTGTTCCTAAAAGTTGTGGTCTCAGAGAGGAGTCTTGTACAATCAATGAATCAGAAAGGAAAACACATTATAAACATGCGAGAAGAAAATGTAGAATGATAATCAGGAGATATAATTAAATGCTGTGTTAAAAAAACAACATTCTGATTGCAGTATTAGAATTGCTAAATGATATGATTATGACAAGATAAACTCTTTGGTAGTGGTGGTGGTGGTGATGTGCCGTGGAGTTGGTTCTGACTCATAGCGATCCTGCATAGGGTTTCCGAGGCTGTAAATCTTTATGGAAGCAGAATGTCTCACCTTTCTCCCATGGAACCATTGGTAGTTTCCGATCTGCTGACCTTGAAATTAGCAGCCCAACTTGTAACGACTACGCTACCAGAGCTCCTTAAACTCCTTGTAGCATGGTGTAATGATTATAGGGTATAATATATGGGACATAGGCCTGAGAAAGAGAGCTCTACTGGAGATGTGGTCATGAAGGAGTTGATTGGGCTGGGGTAGCTGAAAGCTGGAACATGGGCCCCAAGAGTACCTTTCCAAAACTTAAACATGGAGGTCCTGAAAAAGCTAAACATAGCTAAGAGAGGGTTTAGCAATTAATTGGATTGGAGAAATTTGATACAGGAGATATTGAAGACACTTGAGAGTAAATGCTGGTGAGATGGGTCGGAAAAGGAACGTGATAACAGAGTGGATAGAGAAAGCAGCATTTTTCACTGACGTGCAGAGTATCAAGGTGTGTAGAGATGTTGGAGCAGAAACTTTTGCAAGGAGAGGCATGAAATTAAAAAAGTCCTTGCCTGATTGTTTGTAAATGTGCTCATTTATTGAATTCACTCATTCATTAAAACAGTTCATTGAGTCCTTGCTACATAGAGATATTAGTCTGGTTCAACCCACTGCTCAACCCTCAGTAAAATCCCACCCATCACGTAGTACAGGAGTGGAGACATCATCATTAGGGATTGTTGTTGTTAAGTGCCTTCGAGTCTATTTCAACCCATAGCAACTGTGTATAGGGTTTCCAAGGAGCAGCTGGTGAGCATAAATCACCAAACTTGCAGTTCAAATGACTTTGCAGTCTGATGTATTATTAGCACACAGAGCCATGGTTTCAACAACTAGTATTCATGCCAAGGAGACTAAGAAACCCCACTTCACATGAAAACCACGCCTTGTGGAAGGAAAGGTCAGATTCCTGTCCTTCTTTAGTTCGGGTACCAGTCACCCACGCAGGATTCTCCCTCTGACTATAGACATCTTGCAGACTGCCCAAGAGGCAGATACTGGCTGAAAATCTGGAAGTCTGCGTGACTTCCAACTTCTGATCTATTGGCTCAAAGTCTGGAGGCTCCTTTTTGCCCCCTCAGAATAACCAGCCTTAGTGGTACTTGCCTCCATTCTGAGCCTCCTTTTGGTTCAAACAATTATTGGAACAATTCATTCAATTCATAAAAAGGCCACCTTTAACATAACAACTTAAATATAACAAAAAAGAATAAAAATTAAAAGAAGCACGGGCAAGGTCTAAGAAAAAAACGCAAGGACAAGAGCTTCCATGTCCCCAGGACATGCAACCTTCCACAGTGAAGGATGTTTCTCACCAACTAGGAAGCTCCCTTCAGGGACACGGAGTCTCCATACAATAAGCACCAGACTGCAAACCACAAGGTCCACAGTTTGAGCTCGCCAGCTACTCAGTAGGAGAGAGATGAGACTTTCTGCTCCTGCAAAGATTTGAAGCCTCGGAAACCCTTCTACAGGGTTGCTGAGTTGGAACCGACTTGATGGTATTCAACAAGAAGGAAGCTTCCTTAAGTCACCAATTTCTGTGGTTGGTGCCTTACGAGGTTAGCATCAAGCCATGAAGTGGTCCTTCTGATCTTATCTGGCATCACTCATTAGACTGAACTGATGTCCAACTCTTGGGAACAAAGGACAAATGGTTTTTGTAAGGCAGTTCATCGTCTCAGAAATTCTGAAACAGTTTTATGTATATTTTACGATGCAGCAAATAATGTACTATGGATAATAACAGCCAGGAAACTATTAAAGAAGCAATATATTAAAATGAGGGAAAAGATATAAAAGAACCTGTTGTAGGAGTGGAACAAGAGAAATGGGAACAATTGATCTTGTAATTTTTAAAATATATACAGATACACACAGAAACAGGTATCACTATGTATCTTTGTAAGTATATACTCACTAACACATTTCTTAGCTTTTCCCACTTTCCATTCTAACTAGCAGTAAGCATACCTAATGCCTAGATCTTTGTAAATATTCTCTAAGAAAAGTTAACCATGATTTCTTGAGAGAAAAAGTGTGTTCCCAGAAGTCAGGCAGAAAAAAAGACAAGATGACCTTCAGACATTGGCAGATATTATAATGGGGACACGTGAAACAAAAATACAGGGACCAACTTATGGGAATTCCTAAAAACCAAATCGAGAATTTAAGCAAGAAAAACAAAAAGAGCTAGATGGATTAGCCTAAACAGGCAATTCTTGAGTTTCGAACATTCCAACTATGTACAACAGATAATTACAGACCAGTTTCCTAAAGCTTATTATGAATTAAGACCCCTTCCTGCTAGGGTTCAAACCTTGCCTCCCTTGTTCACTAGAACTACAGTGTCCACCCTCCACTTGTGTTCGCTACCCAAGCCAGGTACAGACGAGGGGCCCCAGTGACCTCATGTGTGGAGACTCAAAGGGGCTGGACATTTGCCCTATACCCCTTCACCCCCTCCCCTGCCCCATGCCATGGCAGGGGTTTGCATACACAGTGCACGTAGTGGAGTCTGTCAGCTTCCCTAAGTCAGGGGTCTGGGCGCCAAGCTAAGAAGGAATCCAATGAAGAGTTAAAGGTTCACAATAACAAAAAGATTTGACTTTGCAATGCGCATCCAAATATTCTTCTTCTCAAGGTACTGTGTTAAAGATGTCCGGAAGTGTTTCTTTAACGTTTGCTATGCAGATACTGTGGACTATAACTCACTACCTTCAAGTCAATTCCAACTCAGTGACTGTATCGGATAGAACTCTTTGATAGGTTTTCTCAGACAAACTCATCTTTCTCCTGCAGGGAGGCTGGTGGAGTAGAACTGCCAACCCTGTGATCAGCTTAGCCCATGGCACTACCAGAGATTCTCTAAATAGTTGGTGGGTGTTGTTAAGTGCTGTCAAGTCGGTTCTGACTCACGGTAACCCTGTACCGGCTTCTGAGATGCAACCGGTGGGTCTGAACTGCTGACCTTGATGGTTCGTATCCAGTGCTAATCCTACAGCGCCATGCTGGGAGTCCTCTATATGCACTAAGACAAACATCGGACTCACTGACATTGGATGACCACCAGAGATAACTGTTCTGATGGACGCAACTCTGCTGAAAGACAGGAATGGAAGCCATTAGAAATCTGGGGACTACCTACATTATTATTATAACTATTTTAATAAATAAAGGGTAGAAAATCAGTACAACAGAAAATACTATCTGGGCAATAGCAAAGCAAATATAACAAGACAATGTCAATGGATCCTAAAATAAGTCAATTTAGTACGATGTAAAATAGAATACCTACACAGTATCTTACATATCACCCTATGAGAAACGTACTAATTATAAAGAGCAAAATCGTTAACTCTGCTACAGGAAAGGATGGAAAGAAACCATCAAATATGAAAGCAAAAAACATTCTTCAGTGGAGTAAAAGATGAACGTCTTTAATTGCATGCAAAATAACATCAATAACAACATTAAAAGCTATAAAACCACATGAGCACAAGGGTACAGACTTCTTGGCAATAGGCAAAGACATTAAAGAAGGTAAAGATTAGTTTGGACTGAGAAAGAACAAATAGAATGAGGGCACCCCACAGTTACAGCCCATTTTTGAGTCAGTGTAACTTTTCTTTATTCATTGAGAAATGCGGACCTTTATCCACAGACTTTCGGAAATTTGAAATTATAATAGCAAAGATGGAACATCCCACTTCCGACATACAGTCGTCTTCCCACTGTGTGTTCGCAAATGTTTGGTGAGGTCCGAGGAACACCTAAAGGTTTTCCCACATTGCTTACACTCATATGGCCTCTCTCCACTGTGAATTCTTATGTGTTCAGACAGGCAATAGGGACGACTGAATGTTTTCCTACACTCCTTACATTCGTAAGGTCTCTCTCCACTGTGGGATCTTATATGGGTAGTGAGGTGTGAAGACCACCTAAAGGTTTTCCCACACTCCTTACACTCATAGGGTCTGTCTGCACTGTGAATTTTTCTGTGTGTAGTGAGGTCTGAAGCCTGCCTGAAGACTTTCCCACAATCTGTACATTCATAGGGCATTTCTCCACTGTGAACTCTTAAATGATTACTTAGCAATGAGGAACAGCGGAAAGATTTCCCACATTCCTTACATTCATAAGGTTTCTCTCCAGTGTGAGTTCTTACATGTTTAGTGAGATCTGAGGAAAACCTGAAGGCTTTTCCACATTCCCGACATTCATATGGTTTCTCTCCACTGTGAGTTCGCATATGGGTAATAAGAGAAAAGGACCGACTAAAGGTTTTCCCACATTCCTTACATTCATAAGGCCTTTCTCCACTGTGAGTTTGCATATGTCTAGTGAGGTGTGAGGAACACCTAAAAGATTTCCCACACTGCTTGCATTCATAAGGCCTCTCTCCACTATGGATTCTTCTGTGTGTGATGAGATCTGAGGCCTGCCTGAAGACTTTCCCACACTCTTTACACTCATAAGGCATCTCTCCACTGTGGATTCTCATATGATTAGTTAGAAATGAGGAACAACGAAACGTTTTCCCACACTCCTTACATTCATAGGGCTTCTCTCCTGTGTGGATTCTTATATGTTTAGTGAATGCTGAGGCCTGACTGAAGGCTTTCCCACACTCCTTACAATCATAAGGTTTTTCGCCACTGTGAGTTCGCATGTGTGTCGTGAGCGAGAAGGACCGACTGAAGGCTTTCCCACACTCCTTACATTCGTATGGCTTCTCTCCACTGTGAGTTCTTATGTGTTGAGTTAGGGAGGAGGCTTCACTGAAGGCTTTCTCACATTCCTTACATTTAAAAGGCCGCTCTCCGCTGTGAGTACGCATGTGCGTAGTGAGAGATGAAGAACAACTAAAGGTTTTCCCACATAACCTACACTCATAAGTTTTCTCTCTGTTATGATTCATATTTTTATGTAAGATGAGGGATGAAGGTTGACTATAGGTTTTACAAAACTCTTTGCATTCAAACATACGGGCTCCCATGTGTGAACAAAAGGATGAGAAACTACAGAAACATTCCTCACACTTGTTACATCCATAGGGTTTCTCATCTGTGAGAGCGGTCACAGGACTCTTAACGGTTGAGATACAAAAACCATTCTTCCCACATGCCTTACATTTGTGGGGGAGTTTTCCATTAAGAGTTCTCATTGGAGTGGTTTGTTGGCAGGGTCGCCTGCCGGATTCTCCACATCCCTTACGCTGACAGGTACTGTATCCGTTGGCAGAGATGGTGTGATGCGTATGTGAGGACTGACCCACGAAGGTGTTGCCACACTCATAGCATTCCGAAGGATTTACCTCTGGAGGATTTCTTTGTAGCACAGTCAGACTCGGAATCTGGCTGAAGATTTTCTCACACTGAATGCCTTCATTAATATCATAGAAGTTCTCTATTGTATGGTATCTGTTTAAAATAACCAACATGCTATTGAAAATACATCTGTTCCCATTTAACCATGACAAAACAATGAACATTCATGAATTCTGCCCTAATTTATCACGTGTTTCATAGGTTAAATACTTAAACAAGATACTATCAATACCATCACTATTTTTCTAAAATATGAGGTTTTCTGATAATAGTGTCCATCTGAAGTGTGTTTCAAACATTCAATATCTGAGTCACATTTATGAGAACTGATTGTGAAAATTCTCTAAACACACTTTCACAGCAAGGCTTACATAAACCTATGTGTGTTACTATTGTTAGCTGCCGCTGAGTCAGTTCTGACTCATCGTGACCCTACACACAACAAACCGCAACACTGCACGGTCGTGTGCCCTCCTCACAATTGTTGTCATGGAACTTTGAAAAGTTCATGGAAAAATGGAATTTAAAAGATAACGGAGGTAGATGTTTTGTAACAAAAGGAGGGGAGTGGTTGAATTTAAAGTTCAGGAGTGGAAAAAGGGAGAAGAGCAGAGTGCGGGACCCTACCCAGAGAAGCAGTGATGCCAGAGATGGAGGCAGAGAAGATGACATGGACAGATGGAGCAGCAGGGGACTCTGGACTCCATGAGGGAGAAGGGCTGTGTGCTGACAGTCAGGGGCAGGCTTGAGGGTGGGGGGATGATGTATGGAGGGGATTGTAATCATCGCATTGAAATGAACTAAGATAGAATGAATGTAAAGCTGATGTACTCCCATGTAAACTATCACTAAATTCACAATAAAAACCAAACCAAACAAAAAAAGATAATGGACCTACACTTAATGAATGTAGTAGCTAAAAATACCAACTGAAGAGGGAAGGAGTCTTCACAACAAGGATCAAACCTAACCTCTCTGTAGTCAGGGTAGATAGGGATGGGCAACTTAGACACTGGCTACCTAAAAATGGGGTGGGCGTGGGGGTCAATAAAGGCACAAAGTGACTGGCTTTCAAGTTTTCAATAGGGAGTTTAGGGTCAGAGTGTGCGGAGGAAGGTAGAATCCCCACTCAATAGTTTTTATCTTGGGTAGATGGGTTTGGTGAAAGGAGATGGGGATAAGATTCTTATGATTGATTAGTGAGTAACTGTTACCAGGAGTAATTGTGACTGTTACAACTGTAAAGGTAGAAGTTTTGTAAGAAAAATGGGGAAGTAGTTAATCTTATGGTCCAGGAACAGAGGACTCTAGGACCATCAAGAGAGAAGAGCACAAGCAGTATGTGGGACCCTATCCAGAGAAGCAGCAACACCAGATCAGCTGAGGACTCTAGACTCATGGAAAGAGAGGTACTGAGAGCTGAAAGCCAGGAAGCAGGCTTGCAGTTGTGCCTTTTGGTTGCTTAAATGATTATAGATTCCTGAGTGTTTTTGCATGCAAAAAAAGACCCAGAAGGAATAGAAGTCAATATTGTTGAATGATGATGCATGGAGGGGATTGTAATCATTGCAATGAAATGAAATACAATAGGATGAGTGCAAACCCAATGTTCTACCATGTAAACTATCACTCAATTCACAATAAAAGCTTTAAAAAAAAGATAATGGAATTTATCCATGAACTTTTTCAAGCCCATCATGTCTGAGTGAGTATCAGAGTTTTCAATTGGTGTGTACAGATTCAGCAACTGCTAAGTGAGGCCCTGTAGCAAACACGCCACAGAGGCCGCAGACTGAGCATGTGCCGCTCTCCAAAGCCCTAAAAATCACTCGGATGCCCAAGGTTCCAGTATCTAACAATTGTCCTTGCTGCAGGGTCTATGGGGTCTGTAGAGAGTGATGCATCTTCAGATTGGCTAAGTACTCCACCATCTTTGAGCAAAGCACTTCTATGTTTCCAGCTGCACTTCTTATTTGTTTCCAGCTCAGGCCAAACTCTGATGGGCAATAGATTTGGTAGTAATACACAGCCCTCACTGTCTGAATTCACACAGGCAACTGCAGAACTGCCGTTCAAAGCTCTAGTGTGTACATTTTGTTGTTGTTAAGAGCTACTGAACTGGTTCCAACTCACAGAGACCAAGGCTATACTTTTTTGTAGGAGTAGAAAGTCTCATCTTCCTCCCACGGAGCAGGTGGTGGGCTTGAACCACCAACCTTATGGGTTCACAGACTAATGCTTCGTATATGGAGCCATCACGTTCCCAGTCTATACATATACACAGATAAACATTTGTATATTTTAAAGCCAAGCTGCCTTAGGACTTGACCATGAAGCTTTGCTTTTCCATGTCTGAACGACACTCACCTCAAATGTCTTTCTGGGTTTGGGCGCTGATCTTTACATTCATGGGATTCAGTTACTGCTCCGAACCTGGAGGACCAGGGGTTATTCTTCATGAAGCGTACCATTACACGATCACTGGCTGACTTCTCTTCATCATGAAGATTTTGAGAAACTGAACCAAGAATCCAAGGTACGGTTCACAATATGAAAAGAAAAAAGAAAGGCATTTTTAGGGGGGAAACAGGCTGCCGCAAACAAAGAAAGAGTCGGCCACATTTCGCTGTGCAAGCACATTGGCAAGGGTTAGAAAGCAATTTAGTAGGAAATATATCTGTGAGATTTATGTAATGGTCACATACATGACCAGCAAGGAGAGCTAAGCACACAGACAATGGGCCCGACACACAGGCAGCACTAAACGAGGATGTGAGTCCCCTCACTTAGGTGTGAGATAACTGGACAAGTCAGAGAAGGAAGCTTGGGTATCTGTGAAGCAGCACCCTCAGCCCAAGAGAGGCCTTTTCCAACGGACTGATTCCAATGTTAATTCCCACCACGCAGGGTTGGTCCTCATTGGCACAGTGGACCTGGATGAATGCTAGCTCCACTGCCCTCAAGTCTCTCCTCTGCTTCTCTTAGTAAACACACAGGGAAAGCAGACATGGCGTTGATGCAAAATGCATACCGTGAGGGAAGACAACACAGAACTGTACGTGGCTTCCTGACACTCAGGGAGTGCTGTGCTCTTAAAGGTTTCTGACAAGGGAAAGACCTGAGTTTATTTCAGCAAAAAAACCCTGTCGAGTGTGTATCCAACAGGATGAAACTCTACAGGGTTCACATCAAGGGAGAAGAGCACGAGCGGAATGTGGGACCCTATCCAGTGAAGCAGTGACACCAGAGATGGAGGCAGAGATGAGGACATGGAGAAAGGGAGCAGCTGAAGACTCTAGACTCATGGAAAGAGAGAGACTGAGAGCTGGCGGCCAGGAGGCAGGCTTGCAGAATATGCCCTTTGGTGGTGTAAATTATTATATGTGCCTGAGTGTTTATGTGTACATCAAAAAACAAAAAACAAACAAAAATATAAACAGAGGAAATAGAAGCAAACACTGTTAAATGATGATGCATGGAGAGGATTATAATCATTGCAATGAAATGAAATACAATAGGATGAGTGCAAAACTAATGTTCTCCCTTGTAAACTATCACTCAATTCACAACAAAAACTTTAAAAACCCAAGAAATTCTATAGGGTCTCAAACCACGAATCTCTCAGTGCACCACAGTGACACCGCCCCCACACACACCCACACACAGACACACACTCCCCGAAGCCAATGCTTACATTTACCATATTTGAGTCAGGATGTTTAATCACAAGAGAAACAAAAGTTCCATTTCAGAAAGAGAATTTTATTTTCATGGAGAAACCAGGATGGATGAGCACCAGATACCAAAGAAACATGGCTCTTTTGTTTACTTATTCCCATTTCTCAGTCCAAACAGAAGAATAAAGTCAATGAGTAAAATATAAATTCTTGAGTTAAAAATTTGTACTGTAAACTTTCACTCAAATCAAAAAACCAATTTTTGTTTTTAAAGAAGAAAAACGCTATTCTTACCTACAGAGGTCACGTTTCTCCAGGTCTCCACCATCACGTCTCTGTAGAGTTTCCTCTGATCAAGATTCAGCAGAGCCCACTCTTCCTGGCTAAAGACCACGGCCACATCCTCAATTATTACCGAATCCTAAAACATCCCAGACATTGTGGGTCAGAAAGGTGCAGGCACGCCAATGTGCACAAGAACAAAGTGTGAGGAGGACTGAGAATTCACAGTGGAAACGCAACAGGGGTTTTTAAGCTACGCTGCTAATTTAGTTAAAGCTCAGAGACAAGACAGCGCTCAGAACAAAGAGCAAAGCAATTACTGTGTCTCGATATTCCGGAGGACAGGGGATCGAGAAACTTCCGCTTGGGCGCAGCCTGGGGTTGTTTAGCGGGATGGAAAATCAAGATCCTGGAGCCTGTGATCAATCAGGTATTGCTGCACTATTTCAACTATTAGGGTGATCACATCAGTACTAAGGGGGTCGCATTCCAAACATGATGACTAGACCATTCCGGTTGGCGGATTTCCTCATTGTTCTTGCGAGGTGAGCTGCTCCCAGGCATTTGGAATACAAAGCTCTTCTTTGGCAATGACAAGGAATGATTAATTATGGAAGTTAGCTGGGGAGGGA